AGTCAAACACCTAAGGCAGACGACGGACTGCATTGCGTGACATGCATACATTACCAACCGTGATTTGGTTATGAGGGAATTGACTGACTTAATGAATTATTCTAATTACCTGTCAATCAAAGAAAACAGAAACGGAGTAATATACATGTTCATTATATTTTTAGGTGAGGCTGCCATTTTGAAGCATATGTTTCTCATTTTAACTTATTTGACACGCGGGGAACTACATCTGTCTACCTAAATGTCTGTTTATCTACTTGTCTGTCTATCGATGTGTCTGTATGTTTACATGTGTATTTATCCATCCATCTATCTATCTGTCTACCTATCTATCTATCAGTCTGTGTATCTACCATATATTTATATTTATCTATATGTCTATCTATGATATGATACTAAGAAATTTGTAGATGGATAAGTATGCAATACGTAAGAAAGAGATAAATAGAAAGAGAGAGAGAGACAGAGAGAGAGACAGAGAGAGAGAGAGAGAGAGAGAGAGACAGAGACAGAGAGAGAGAGAGAATATAATAAAAACACCAGAGCCTCATATATCCCAACAACATTTTACCAAACCACTACCTTATCTCAGATATAATTGCAATCACCAAACCAAAATTCAACTTCATATCCCTCATACAAATGCCAAAAAACTTGTAAACAAAGAAACAAACAGCAACAGCAGGTAGGGTGGTTGAGGGAACAGGGGAAGGTGGGAGCGAAGGGAGGGAGGGACAAGGGACGGGGGCACGGGTAGAGAGAGTAGGAGGTAGGGGGGAGAGGAGGGGGAGTAAGGGAAAATAAGGAGAAGAGTTATGGGGAGAAGAGGAGGAGGAGGGAAAGGAAGGAGAAGAGGAGATAGAGGAGGAGGGAGAGGAAGAAGAGGAGGTGGAGGAGGGAGAGGGCGAAAAGAGGAGATGAGGAATGGGAAGAGGGGTAGAGAGGAGAAATAGGAGAGTGGAATCGGTGACAGGGGTAGGGGGTGAGAGAAAGAGAAGGGAGGAAGGGGTGTTGGAATATTGGGAGGGGGTGGAAGAAGGGGAAGAGGGTGGAAGGAAGAAGAGGGAGCGGAGGAGAGGGGGGAGGCACGCGGGCGCTCACCCACGTTGTATGAGGAGAACTTCCCACGCAGGAGAGTCGTCGCCACGTTATGCCTTTGTATGAATGGCTGTTGCCTCTGTTGCACATACAGATTGCACCCTCAGAAACCGGTGCTTGTTTGCCGTCTGCGATTTTTCTTTCACACACAATCTGCATAAGTGTTGACTTTGTTTGGCCTTCCATGTGTTTGTTTATGTATCTTGCAGCTGGTTGTCTGTCTGTCTCTCTTCGCTTGTCTATTGATCGATAAACCAAGGAATGAGTCAGTGAGGAAGAGTATGTGTCTGTCTAGATGTTTTCCAACCTCTCTGTCTATCTATCCATGTCTCTGTCGATCTATTTATGTGTCCATTTATCTTGAGATCTATCTATTCATCTTGAGATCTATCATCTATCTATCTGTCTTCAGATTTATTCATATATGTATCTATCTTTAGATTATTAATCTATCTATCCTGAGATCTATTAATATATCTATCTTTAGATTTATTCATATATCTATCTTTAGATTTATTCATATATCTATCTTTATATTTATTCATCTATCCATCTATTTTGAGATTTATTCATCGTAATCTATCCTGAGGTC